CCCCCCCCCAGAACGGTGTCTGACATGCCCATCGTTACAGGCTTCGCCTCTGGCACTTTCTCTCTTCTTCTTTTTTTAAAGCCGCAGATGAAACATCCAGCTCTCAGTCTGCGCGGAGCACAGCTGCGGACATTTCTGGAGAAGGTCGCGCTACTTCTGGACTTGGGTTTTTGTAAATTACTTTGAGATCCACCTGTGGATGTTTGAAACCCCTTTTTTTAAAGAGTTGATTAGCTGCGGGGAGGTTTTACTTTATTTTTATTTATTTTTTTCCCCCCTCCTTTCTTCGCGTTTGAGGAGATGGAGCGCACCGTGCTGCTGAGCGCCCTCCTCCCCCTCCTGCTGAGCGCCCCCGGCGGCTGCGGCTCCTCCTTCGTGCCGTGCGAGCCGTGCGACCCGAAGGCCCTGTCCATGTGCCCGCCGGTGCCGGTGGGCTGCCAGCCCGTGAAGGAGCCCGGCTGCGGCTGCTGCCTGACGTGCGCGCTCGAGGACGGCCAGCCGTGCGGCGTGTACACGGAGCCGTGCGCGCGGGGGCTCCGCTGCCTGCCCAGGAACGGCGAGGAGAAGCCGCTGCACGCGCTCCTGCACGGCCGCGGGCTCTGCAGGAACGAGAAGCTGTACAAGCTGCTGCACCCGCCCAAAGGTACGCACGCGCGCACACTTCCCAGTTAAGTCAGGCTAAAACTTAATACACTAATTTAGGAGGTGTTAATGTATCTTTTTTACAGGGGCGCCACTGGGGTTCCCCTGTGTCCCCTGTCTTTCATAAATCTCGCATGACGGCTCAGTGGTTAGCACAGACGCCTCACAGCAAGAAGGTCCTGGGTTTGATCCCCGGTTCGGACCTGGGGTCTTTCTGTGTGGAGTTTGTATGTTCTCCTTGTCCTTGTGTGGGTTTTCTCCAGGTACTCTGGTTTCCCCCCCCCCCTAAAAACATGTACAATAAGTTGCCTTCAGGCCCAGGCCTCCCTTGAAAAAGAGATCTGAGATCTCAATGTGATCTGGGTAAATAAATAAATAAACAAATCTGTCTGTTAGCAAAATATCTCACAATCCACTGAACAAATTTTAATGAAACTTTCCGACATTAATCCCTAGATAGACATCTACCATTGATTTGCTTTTGGAGTCAGCTCAGTTCAAGACAGCCACCACAGGTTATCACCTTTAACAAAGACAAGACAAGTCGTTCGGTAACTAAGCAAATTATGTATTGACGTGAAACTTTGCTTGGTGGTAGCTGAGAGTTGTCCCTAACACAAGTGTTTTGTTTACAACAAGGCGTTGGATGGAATGCTATTTGCATTGATTTTGGTGTTCTCAGTCAGTAATATCAGCTGGACAGCTAAGAAACAAAGTATAAAAAAGTGAAAGCTGAGGTTCTTCTTCCATGAAGCAGCTCTGTTGTCCTCCATCCATATTTTCAGTTACAGGCTGAGTCATTTCTACCTTCTCCTCTCTGTCA